CCTTTTATGTATTAATACATATTATATGAAAAAATTTAGAATACCACAAATATATAGACGTTGAAGAAAAATGGGTGGGGAGTCGATAAATGTAGATGATGTGGTATTTATATATTTAGATTAATATTTGTATTACTCTATTTATATAATTAGTCTTTCTTGTGAAAAAAAGGTAAACTATATTATGAGAACCGTAATTTTATTACTCAGGTAATATATGTTTTGTTATTATTTTCAGGAAAAAGCTGCAAAAAGTGTAAAACTGGATGTTATCTATGATGATTTCTTTTCAAATAATGGAAATTCTAAATTCGGCACAGAGTGTAACGTATTCGATAGTAGAGACAAAAAAAATGAAGATGCAAAAAATATTTGCCCTAAGCTCGTGTATTTATTAGAAAAAATAGCAGAAAATAATAATAATACTGAACGTAGTGATCACTGCGATTATTTAACGTATTGGTTTTATGAAGAAATAGAGAAAATACATAAGGATCACTCGAATTATATAAGAGATGTATCTTTTGTTAAAGATCTTATGGATATAGAAAAAAAGGTTAATAAAAATTACACTGGAAAATACTATTGCTCATTAAAACCCCAAGAAAGAATTAATTTGAATGAGTGGAAAAAAAGAAAGCTTTTGTACATTTATTTTAAAAAACATAATCATATTAAAGAAACTATTTCGAAAGATCAAAATAAATGCAACGATTATTTAATATATCTTAAACATATTAATTCATTATATGAAAAGTACTATAAGGAAAAGTGTCCGACATTCTTCACTTTGTTTCTCCCTAATTACATTAGTTGCGATACCGAATTTAAGCCAAATAAACTTATAAATACAATAGGAAAATGTGAAGTTCAAGTACCTAGGAGTAATTCAGGTTTGTTACGGGGATTTTTTGATATACTTAGTCCACCTAGATCATCGGGAAGTAAAAAAGAAGAACCAAAGCAAAGTACCACGGTTGCTGAAACCGCAAAAACTAAACCAGAAGCACCGAATAAGGTTGATGGTGTTAAGCCTCCAGGAAAGTTCACAGAATCAACAGATGGAACGAATGATAACGGCGTAAAATTGGAAACTCTGAAAGATCAATCACAACCTGGTAAAAATGAAAAATCGCTAACTGCTGATGTTCAATCATCACCTGTGGAAGCTCAATCATCGCCTGTGGAAGTCCAATCACTACTCGTAGCGGTACCTGAAGAACCTGTAGATGTGAGACAGTATATTCCAATATTATATATCCGCAACGAAGAAACATATGCTACAGATGCTATACATTCTGAAGTCAATATCAATACTTTTGATTTCTCTAAAAAACTATATGAATCAATGAAATTTCTAGATTTTCAGAAATCATTTGCAGCTGCTACAATAATTGCAGC